GATCTAAATAAAATTTACATGTCTAGCCAGAGATATAAGACAGTCCCGTAGTAAAGGACTTGTATAAAAATTAGCTTGCATAATTGTTTAGTTATAATAATGGTAACACTGTCTTGGGGTTTTTTATGTCAGAAAAGATAATAAGCTCTCTATTGTTTTCTCTGTTTTTTCACTTTAGGTGTAATGTAGCAGCAGGAGTTTAAAATATATGTGCTTTACTGAGGATAAAGACCTAAATTGCTTAAATCAGGGACCACTAGTACTGATTACATTTACTCAGACTCTTTGGAAGCCTATAATACATGTTCTCCTGACATAGGCTTGTAGCAAATGAATGCTTGGGACCCATTTAATACCTGAACGGGTAAGATGAAAATGCGTAAGAGAAAGAGCTTAGTTGCCTGACTTCAGGTGCTCAGAAAGTCAAATTACTATGCACTGAGTCTAGAAGGCAGCCACATTCCTTTCTTTGTGGCTCTGCCCTGTGTGCTTGTCTCCTTGTAACCACGTATGGATGTAACCTCCATCTATGGCCCACAGTGGGTCATGGTGAGTAGGGTTTGAGATGAACCTTGTAACATGTCTAGTTGCTGAAAGACTTACTTGTTCTTGTGGGGAATTAGGGTAGAAAATTAATCCCTAAATGAGTTTACTTTTATCCCCACTGCTTATACCCTTCCTTCTTATCTCACTACCCCTACTAAAGCCACTCTACAGAGGATTTATCACAAGGTGCCTTAGGAACAAGGAGCATGTCTGAAATCAGATTCATAGGTGTCATTAATCCAAGGGACTTCTCATTTCTCTGCCCATTTGAGTAGCAGAGGGACACTTCCTAAGATGAGGCAAGGAGAACCCCTGTGGGCTGATCCTGGAGATCTAAGCTGTTCATAGACTGCCTTGTTGCTGTAAGATGAGTATACAATGGTATTTGTGTTTCCTGGTGCCATATGTTCTTGGCCTTTTAAAATCATATGCTACTGTCAGATATCTAGGAACACCAGAGGACTACTCCTTTTGATGTGCTGATGCTAAATCCAAGGACCAGAGGAACACTAGACAGACATAGAAGAATGTTCCTTGTGGCCATTCATCATTTTCTCTAAAAGAAAATTATGTCAGAATCCAGTGTTGTGAGTGGTGTGTGCTTATACATATTGAGGCTGGATAAAAGACCAAAGCAACAAAGTTGGGTTTTTTTGGTTTGTTATTTGTTTGTTTTTTTTTTCCTTCTACAAGTGTGAAAGAAAAGACTGTTTCTCTCTTTT